TAGGTGGTAGCATGATCAAATTTTCGTAGCAATTGAGTAAGCGTAGACACGCTTCCTACTTTCATCTCAACTGTGTATACATTTGTATTTGTATTTTTGTAGATGTACTCAAAACATCAGAACTGAAACAGATATGTCTTGCTGTATCCGCATTGTTAGGCAAAGAAGTGCCATGTCGTCACACATGTATGTACGTGTTTGCAAATGAATGCACATCTACGATTGAGTCCCAACGATGGTCAAGTCAGTTTTACAATCCCATAGCAATGGCAAAAAAACAGTAACCATACATTACTCCTTCTGTCAAGATTGAAAGCTAAGCGAACTGTAGTGCGCAGGTGCAACGAAAACCATAATTCTTGCACTGAACTAGTAACTATCACCCACGAACAACAAACAACCTCGGCCATGTATATCACGTATGTCGTTATCATATTACCTCATGTCGGGGTGGCAAGTCATTTCCAATTGATCTATACATGACGAATTCATTCTTTTCAAGATCGACTTCTGGGTCGATCGCACCTAGGACCTTAGGCATAGGAACATTCCTGGGCTTATGTGTTGAAGCAAGACCCCAGACAATCGCAAAGACTACGATTGCTTGGAGCACTAGCTTTGCAATTCGACGAGACTTGGTGGAACCGAGGACACCAGGAACCGCTTGCAGCTTATTGCCTATCTCTAGTTGAGGGTGCATCTTGCTATTGTTGTATGTACTATAGACGAGCTAGATTTAGATAAATAGTGACGCTGTATAGTGAAGATATACTATTTCACACCACAAGTGACGAGCTGACACGCATTGTATTGAACCTATGTATGAATATTAAATCAATTGAAAAATGAAATATTTTCAAAACACTGTGACTTTCAGTTTCATATATTGCGACCCTTACGTAAAAAGTGTGGTCACTGGAGCATTGGCAGATAAGGGGTACCTAATATGTTACAGTACTTGATAGTCCCTGAGTTTACAATACCGCCGCATCATTATATACTCCTCAACAATTCAGCTGGTCAACACTTTTACTACCTCAATTCAACAGGCGTTCCCATTTAGTTGCTTTTGAATTGTAGCACGTCATCCACTAAATTGTTTCTCCTAAAATATCCGAGTATTCCGAGCGACCTCGCTCATTTCACAAGTAAAAGTGTTCCATGCAACGATATAAATTTTCGCGAGCAAATTGTTTTTGATTGGATTGAAATTTATTGAGGCCATGGCAACGCTATCATTGGCTGGCCTAAAATTTATTATCCACTCAGAAGCGTTTGTTCGTGTCATCAGTTTTTGGTTTTGATGCACTACATCTATGTGTACATACAACCTACATACAGCCTACGCCCTACAGCCTACAGGCTACAGCCTTGAGCCTACAGGCCTCCGGCCGGGCTAAAGCCTCTAGTAGAGGGTCTAGTAGTAGTGAGTCCTACAGACTACAGGAAATACAGGACTACACTGCTACAGGTTACAGGATAAGTGGTATGATGACGTATTGCAGTGGGTGTGCTCGGTTTTGGTACATATTTACGGATTCTGTCTTTCTGACTTTCCGATTTGGCATATTTATTTATGAGTTTACGACAACAAACCCCCCCAAAATGGTAATATATATATAAACAAGAAAGAAGATTTGGTTTTAGTGACATTTCTACCAAGTTTTAGTCCAAGTATGTAGTACATTCTTTAATATATTTATTCCATTAAGAGTCTTTTTTTAAACCAACAGAGTGCCAGCCCGGAGTCCTGGACTCTCTGGGCCTGGGGTGGTATGTATATGGGCCCAAATCTTGAAATCTAAGAGACCTACGAGTCTAAGACTGAGACAGCAGAGTAGTAGTAGTGTCGAGTGTCAACTGAAGACTTTTAAGTGTGCCCAATTGCCCATCGGATAGCCGATAGTCGGGACTCGGATATCCAGGATATTATCACCTGCTAAGTAATATATTTTATCGTCACGATTGCGACGTTTTTAGTAGACGAGCGTTGTAATGTTTTTTACTACTATTATGCCATTGTGGTGTAGTGACCACTACATAGCGACTGAAACACCCCACAACTGTACCTTCTGGTCTGAATTGCATTCAACAGAGAACTGAGCGATTTTTTTAACTTTGCAATACCTTCGTCTGACTCTGAACGATATTATAACCAAGCTAGGTGGCAATTCACAAGAGCTGTGCTTAGCACACGTGGATACATTAGCATTCATATTACATAGGTACAGAATGGAGAAATATCTGGAGGAGAGAGCGCATTAAGGAGCGACCGGAACCTGGATATGCAAGCCGTGGGTTCATTATTGTATATTGGCATACCAAATTGTTGGTCCGGACAAGTGTGTAGCAGTGATACACTAGCGATGACTTTCGCCAACACAAGTGTATCTGGCAATACATGAGCTGTGATTAGTATCAAGATCAAAGGTGCTGTGGGTGTAAGGGACCACAGGCTTTGAAACTTCATTTGCACAGGGTTGCCTAAAACAAACACAGGGTTGCACTCTCATAAACAGATATTAGATATATATAGGAGTGAAGATAGACAATACGAAGTAAGTTAAACAACAACGTGAGTTAAATAACAAAGCAAGTCAAATATCAAAGTAAGTAAACAAACCAAAGCAATATAAGAAGAGGTGACCGATTGGCGAGCAACTAATCTTTGGTCGCGATATCTTCTTGCCCTCTGCCACATGATAAGTTTGCTCGAATCCGAAATTTAGGAACAATGGGGTTAACAAGAAATACGACGAAAATAGTGCATGTCTGAGAAAGTGAAGCACCAAATTTACTCTCTCTCGTTCTCGCTATATATATATCTATATATCTATATCTATATCTAAATCTGTATATATATAAATATATATATA